GGGACCGGCAACGGGATCGCAAGCCTCGGTGTTGCTCCCGCGCCTCGCTCAGCCAGTGAGCGGGAGCCGGTCTGTATGTGGGATCCGAACCCTCGGACGGGAGCGCCGCCGCGCTTCCCAAGCGGCGCACTATCCAGTGTGCCACCGGGCCGGCCCCTACCCAGTTTTTTAAAAATAAATTTGTACTGGAATTCAAATATTCCCTTGCCCCCGCTGCAATTTCTCACACATTGTATACCATGAGTACTCTTGGAAAATGTTGGAAATGGGAGAAATACAATCCTGAATTCTGATATTCATTTTAACATGTCTTTCTTTTTAGATACTACATGAAGTTATGTGGAAATGAGAGAGATTCAAGAAACTCCTCCTTCAGGAGAGTATGTCTGCCATAAATGGAGTTTTGTTTCTGGCTTTTATGGGACATTGACATTGTCGCAGAGCCACAGCTGCCCTTCCTGCTGTTTTCAGTGATTCACAGAATACCTGAACAGTGATGCTTGCCTTGGATTTACAGATTTTCATCCTGATACCTTGTTTACTTCTTTGGGGGAGAAAAGTTTACTCTAGTTGCTCTCCATGGTGGCCAATCTTTTCAAGAGCTTGATTTTACCTTACATACATAAGCTTTGCAAAGGAATGTTTACAAAGAAATCGGGAAATATAACCAAAAAAAAAGAGAATTGTCAGCAGAAGAAGGATCAAGACTTTCCTACTGCTGGCCAGACCAAACCCCCCAAATTTTCTAATACCTTGAAAAGCACTGTAAGGAAAATTGCAAAGTGTTCATCTGCTCGCAACTTATCCACTGAAGAAGACAAGGCTAATAAAGAGTTTTCTCTCTCACCAACATTCAGTTACCGAGTAGCTATTGCCAATGGACTACAAAAGAATATTAATGTAACCAACAGTGATAATGAGGATCTGCTTCAAGAGCTATCTTCAGTTGAGAGTTCCTACTCAGGATCATTAAATGAACTAAGGAGTAGTACAGAAAATCAGGTACCGTCAACACACACGATGCCAGTTAGACGCAATAGGAAGAGTTCGAGCAGCCTCGCACCCTCCGAGGGCAGCTCTGATGGGGAACGCACTCTACACAGCTTAAAACTAGGAGCTTTACGAAAACTGAGGAAATGGAAAAAGAGTCAAGAGTGTGTCTCCTCAGATTCAGAGTTGAGCACCATGAAGAAAACCTGGGGAATAAGAAGCAAGTCTTTGGACAGAACTGCCCGAAACCCAAAGGCAAATGCCCTGGAACCAGGATTCAGTTCTTCTGGCTGCATTAGCCAAACACATGATGTCATGGAAATGATCTTTAAGGAACTTCAGGGAATAAGTCAGATTGAAACTGAACTTTCTGAACTTCGAGGGCACGTCAATGCTCTCAAGCACTCCATCGATGAGATCTCCAGCAGTGTGGAGGTTGTACAAAGTGAAATTGAACAGCTGCGTACAGGGTTTGTCCAATCTCGAAGAGAAACCAGAGACATCCATGATTATATTAAGCACTTAGGTCACATGGGTAGCAAGGCAAGCCTGAGGTTTTTAAATGTGCCTGAAGAAAGGTTTGAATATGTTGAAAGTGTGGTGTACCAAATTCTAATAGATAAAATGAGTTTTTCAGATGCACCAAATGCTATTAAAATTGAATTTGCTCAGAGGATAGGACACCAAAGGGACTGCCCAAATGCAAAGCCTCGACCCATACTTGTGTACTTTGAAACCCCTCAGCAAAGGGACTCTGTCTTAAAAAAATCATATAAACTCAAAGGAACAGGCATCGGAATTTCAACAGATATTCTTACTCATGACATCAGAGAAAGAAAAGAGAAAGGAATACCATCCTCCCAGACATATGAGAGCATGGATATAAAGTTGTCTACTCCAGAGCCCAAAGTCAAGAAGAACAGTTGGCAGTCACCTGATGACAGTGATGGAGACCTGGAATCTGACTTCAATAGAAACAGTTATGCTGTGCTTTCCAAGTCAGAGTTTCCAACAAAGGGAAGTACTTCCAAGCCAAGCTCAAAATCACACAGTGCTAGATCCAAGAATAAAATGGCTAATAGCAGCAGAATTTCAAATAAATCAGATTATAGTAAAATTTCCTCACAATTGCCAGAATCAGATAACTTGGAAAAGCAAACCACAACCCATTACGCAGATGCAACACCTCTCTGGCATTCACAGAGTGATTTTTTCACTGCTAAACTTAGTCGTTCTGAATCAGATTTTTCCAGATTATGTCAGTCTTACTCAGAGGATTTTTCAGAAAATCAGTTTTTCATTAGAACTAATGGAAGCTCACTCCTGTCATCTTCAGACCGGGAACTTTGGCAGAGGAAACAGGAGGGCCCATCTACCTTGTATGACAGTCCTCGGGACCAGCATTTGAATGGGAGTATTCAGGGTGTCCAAGGGCGGAGTGAAATTGAGAACACAGAAACTGTGGATAGTGGAATGAGTAATGGCATGGTATGTGCTTCTGGAGACCGAAGCCATTACAGTGATTCTCAGCTCTCTTTACACGAAGATCTTTCTTCATGGAAGGATTGGAATCAAATAGAGCAAGGAGCTGATTTAGGCTTAGATTCATCCATCCAGGAAGGTTTTGATTATGACACAAACAGTCTATCTGACAAACAGCTGGATGTTTACAATAAAGACCTAGAAGACTTAGGAAAGTGCCTCAGTGACCTTCAAGATGATTCAGAAAGCTATGATTTAACCCAAGATGACAACTCATCTCCGTGCCCTGGATTGGATAATGAACCACAAGGCCAGTGGGTTGGGCAATATGATTCTTCTCAAGAAGCTAATTCTAATGAGCTGTACCAAAATCAAAACCAGTTGTCCATGAAGTATCGAAGTCAAAATGAATTGCAAAGTGATGATTCAGAGGATGCCCCACCCAAATCATGGCATAGTCGATTAAGCATTGACCTTTCTGATAAGACTTTCAGCTTCCCAAAATTTGGGTCTACACTGCAGAGGGCTAAATCAGCCTTGGAAGTAGTATGGACCAAAAGCACGCAGAGTCTCAGTGGGTACGAGGACAGTGGCTCTTCCTTAATGGGGAGATTTCGAACATTATCCCAATCCACTGCGAATGAATCAAGTACCACGCTTGACTCTGATGTATACACAGAGCCTTATTACTACAAAGCAGAGGATGAGGGGGACTATAGTGAACCAGTGGCTGAAAACGAAACAGATTATGTTGAAGTGATGGAACAAGTCCTTGCTAAGCTAGAAAATAGGACTAGTATTACTGAAATAGATGAACAAATGCAGGAATATGATCACCCTTCATATGAAACACCTTATGAAACCCCACAAGATGAGGGTTATGATGGTCAGGCAGATGATATGGTTAGTGAAGGGGGATTAGAACCACTAAATGAAACATCAGCCAATATGGAAATAAGAGAAGATGAAAACCAAAACATCCCTGAACAACCACTGGAAATCACAAAGCCAAAGAGAATACGTCCCTCCTTCAAAGAAGCAGCCTTAAGGGCCTATAAGAAGCAAATGGCAGAGTTGGAAGAGAAGATCTTGGCTGGAGGTACTCATGTTTAAATGCTACAATAAGAGCTAACTGTGTTTTAACACTGGGTGGTGCTTCTTTAGAGCATGTTCTGTGTTTACTTGGGGGAAAGAGTTTACTTGTAATGAATTTGCATGTTTATTCTGAGAAGAATACTTTTTATTCAGACAGCTCTCCACCAAGTTGGGCTTGATGATTTAAAAACAAAAGGTATTTTAAATATGTTTTATTAAAATGAGCCCAAACTTAACTCTACACACTGCAGATCAAGGTTTCTCTGCCAGGTCTGGGCACAAACCCCATTTCATATTAACCAACTCTGCAGCATCAGTTGTCAAAGACAGGAAGAGTGAAATCAAAGGGCAGCCCCTTCAGCCAGCCAGGGGTCTTCTTGGTTCCATTAGGTTTACAGGGATGGGGAGAAAGGTGTAGTTAATCTCAAAGGATTTTGCAAGATGGATTCTGAGACTTAGCCACTTTTTCTCCCATCAAATCTATAATTTGGGACCTGCTGTTAGGAAGAGTTGGGGCTGCATAGTCAACCCTAGCCATTCCCATGCAGGAGCACAGACTTTCTTACCTCCTACTGGTGCTTCTGAGGGAGAGCAAGAGCCGAGACTCCAGGCCATGCCTGAGAGGTCACAGCTCACTCTTCCAGAAGAAGTCAGTGAAGGGGTAGAGATGAGAATCTTCCTCCTTAAGAATGGAATAGTAGTCCCTCTCCTGACATGGAAATGAGAAGAGTACCTTTCCTAACAATTTTACTAACTTTCCTGCCCAGGGGAAAAATTTTGGATCATGTATGTTTGAAAAGTAGCTGTGAATAAATATATGTTTGTTGACTTTTTTTTTCTCAACCAAACTTCATCTGCACTTACTACGATCCCTTACATTTATTTTATTTGCATGCTAATCACTTCATATTTTGGAGACAGTTTGTTATAATCTCAATTTTAATGAATTGCATATTGTTAATTCTCAACCAAACTTCATCTGCACTTACTACGATCCCTTACATTTATTTTATTTGCATGCTAACCACTTCATATTTTGGAGACAGTTTGTTATAATCTCAATTTTAATGAATTGCATATTGTTAATGTTTCCTGGTTATGAAGTTATCATCCTTAAAATATTACTCTACATAATATTTTAAAAGATATATCTATTTATGTGATCAATATTACTTGATAATATAAATTTCTGCAACCAGTAGCTGATAGCAGCTTCTTTGTCTTGACCAAAGCTATGATCAGCACTCATCCAAACTAACCCTTTCTGATTGATATGAGTAGATTATTGAATAATCAGAAATCTTTACTGTTAAACTGTGTCAAACCCTAGATACTTGAAATAACAACTAGGGTTCACTGCTCTAAAAATCTGTCTTTATAAAACAACACAGCCTATGTAATTCATTTAAAGGACAATATGTCGAGGGGATCATGGGTGCAATGGCTGTTATATATATATTTTTTTCCTTTTTGTCTTTTTTCATGACCGGTAACGGGATCGCAACCCTCGGTGTCGCACCCGCACTGCGCTCAGCCAGTGAGCGGACCGATCTCTATATGGGATCCGAACCCTCGGCGGGAGTGCCGCCACGCTCCCAAACGCCGCACTCTACCGAGTGTGCCACCGGGCCGGCCCGAGGCTGTTATATTTTATTATTTTTTTTTCAGGGAGTGGTAGTTCCCCACTATATTTAAAACTGATCTGAAACTGCAAAGTAGTCAAATGTTATGTAAATATAATTCATATTGGAATAATGTCTATCTTATATGAATGATTTTTGATTGTTAGATGTCGTTATTACTAAAATGCAGTTGATAATTTTGGGGGATACAGGCCAGAAGTTTGGCATTGTATTTTATTAGTTATTAATTTAGAGAAGTCTACTCAAATGCAAATTAAGACTAAGCAGTATGCGTGTATGTATGTATGTGTGTGTGTGTATCTGTTGTGATATAACAGATAAATGTTTTAAAGCCAATTGTTTAAGGTATATGTTTGAAATTCTAGGCAATATAATAGATAGGACAAGATCATAAATTTCAGGAAAAAAATGGAGCTTCAACGTTTTTAAAATTCCAAATTAGCAAGTCTCTGCAAAGAAGATTGTTACTGGTAATGACCCTTCAAATGGCTAACAAACCTAGTCATCCGGTGGCACTTATTCTTGGAAAACACAAATGTACTTAGGTCATCCATATGCCATCAACTTAAGAATTTCAAAACAGATAAAACAATCTTGTGCCATGTACCTGAAATAGGAGACCTGGCTACAGAGGACGCAGACCCCTCCATTGTCGTGGAGCTTAGCTTGTTACCATCCTGTGAGCCAACTTTGGATGGCATCTGTTGGCCGTCATCTGTCCTACAGGAAATCAGCACACATACCTTTAAGATGCTCTCCGGTTGCTGAAAGGTACCAGATTGGCCACCCAGGTGGCTTTAGTAGCCTAGATTTTAAAGGCCATCTCTGCTTCCCTTGGCAGCAGTCAGGCAGTTTTCTCCATCCTGTGCCACCAAAATGCCTCAGAAGGAAGGGCAGCCAAAGAAAGACATTTTCCAGGCCCGTTCCCTGCTCAGAGCATCCCAATGAGTGCCAAATGTCATGATGGTTTTTGTGCCCATGGCCATCTGCTTACTGGGCTTTGGGCAGATGCCAACAGATTTTTCACTCCATGGCTACCTAGCAGCTGTCTTTTCTCCATTACCAACTTGGCCAGATAGGACCATAGAGCTCTTGCTATAAAATTCAGCGGGTTCTGTTCCCCTGACATAGCTTTATGGAATTATAAGTTCGTGCTTGCTTGCTTGCTTGCTTATTTATTTATTTATTTGTTTGTTTGTTTGCTTGTTTGCTTGTTTATTTCAATTCTTGCCTTCAGAGTCTGGAAGATTTGCTTGCTTATTTATTTGTTTGTTTGTTTGTTTGTTTGCTTGTTTGCTTGTTTATTTCAATTCTTGCCTTCAGAGTCTGGAAGACAAGAAAACCCCAATGTTTATAGGTGTGGAAATTTGTTGGCAGTGTTCGTGAGAACCATCACCTTAAACAGCATTCTGATAGAGAAAGAGATCTCATAGGGTGTGTAGCCAGAAATTTGCTCATGAGGTCAAATTCTTCCCTTGTTTTTGGGCCCTGCCGAGTGGCACTATTTGTGTAGCTGGCCCAAACCCCACACCATGATGGTGACTACCTGATCCCCACCCCTCAGCCCTGCACAACCCATCAACTGGAATTAACTATTGTCTCTTCTAAATTCCTATATACCTGTCTCTTATGGCACTGGCTTCCATCTTGTATTTCTGTGCATTTCTCATTTTCTCTTCTAAACTGTAATCTAGGGGCAAGAGGTCTTGTCTTTTTCATACTTTCGTTTGCACTGTGCCTAGACCAGTGCTTTATACAGACGATGCTGGTTCGATATGTGTTGGATAAATACCTAAATCGAGGGAGGCAGGATACTAAAAAAACAGCACAAGCTTCAAAGTCAAATTTAAATTTCATCTGTGGCCTTTAATTGTTAAGACTCTAACTTTATTTCCTGCGAGCTTAGAAGAATAGGGATAAAAGCTTGTTACTCAGTGTTACTATATACTAGGCATTTTCCAGGCAGTTTTCCTGTTTTCATCCATTTACTTCTTATAACTACGAATTTGATTCCTTTATTATCCCATTTTACAGGTGAGGAAACTGAAATGCTGAAAACTTACGTGACTTACTTAATGTCTTACAGCTAGGGAGTAGATCCAGAATTAAATGGATAGTTATTGTGGTTCTTTAGAGCAACCATATGCTTTCTCACTTCAAACATCATTTTATTTATATTTTAAGTTAGAAAAGCATAATAAAAGAGGAGAACAGAGTCAGCC